AGAAAGAGAGGAAAAGATATTAAATACAAGACAGCATGTAGGTGAGCAACTGAAGTTATGCATACTACCAAGTAACTCTTAAGTGCACTGTATCTCTACTTTTTAATACAGTACTCCTTAATTGTTTTGCAAGCATGATATGAGCTAAGTCTTTATTATATTTGAAATTACATTGGAAGGAAAAGTAGTTTGAAGAAAAGGATTCAAAATATATTCAGAAGAAACAGATTTAAAATGTACTGGATTGTTGGTTTACTGGAAGAATTAAAAAGCTCTTAGAATGGAAAAAATATTGTTGAAACCATGCAGAACTGATTAGTCATGAAGAAGATCAGAATGGACTAATTCTAACGACTTAAATTGTAGACTAAGCAACTCATTTAAACTTTAACTACACCACCATCTCAACCCACATCAAAGGTAGATAGCTAGTTCCCTAAAAGAATGTAAATTACACTGAAGTAGGAAATGAACGGGCACCCAGAAGCCGTAACCATTCCATCTCATCAGCATCTTTTAGCTCAGATATGGAATAATAGATTGAAAAACTCCTAATACCATATAGGAGTCTTTTCTTAATATTATTTATTGGATAGATTTTTATGCCACTCATCTCACTTCTTCTTTTCCATATCTAGATTAAATTTTAAATTGCCAGAATGAAATCGCCTTCTTGGAATGTCGTTGGCCAAAATAAGTCATTATCGGTACATATTTTTGATAGTAGCTGACATACTAGCAGATGGCCTGGGTTCTGCATCTCTCCACATTCACACAGAGTATTATTATCTACTAAGAGCCTCCACTTCAGCATATTGGTTTTACACTTTGGCATTCCAACTCTCAAGTAATATAAGAGGGGTAACATCTTTCAGCTGGATCCTCCTTTAATGTTATTCCTTGTTTGATAGACTCCTTCCTCCATCTTTTAATTCAATTTTGTTCTTGAATACTCTCAAGAACATTTGTTCCTGTTCTTCCTAGATCTGAGTCAGTGGACTCGGGCTTATGTCTGTTCAGAGGATGTTGAGGATCATTCTCTTGCTTAGTTTTCTTGGCATCTACTGCTACTTCTCTCCTGATCTTAGGTGGGGCAATGCAGCGAGAGGATATATTTTCTCAGTTGGTGTTGGTTTGAGACATCCTGTCACTTAACTTGTTTCGCATGTGCAGATGCACCCCATACTGGAGCAGTATACTCTGCTGCAGAGATATTTGAGGCCAAAGCTGATATGTGCAACATAGATGGTTGAGTTCCCTGTGTGTAGTTTATCAATTTCCTGATGATATTGTTCCTCAAGCTGATTTTAGCCTTAGTGTTCAGACAACGCTGTTTAAAAGAGTGTCCTGTTGAGTTCACTGTTGGACAGTGCTGTAGTCAGTTCCCCTGCAACATACCATCCAATTCTTCTCAACCCATCTCACTGATACAGACTCTGGACACCTTACAACAGAAGTCCCCAACCCCGGGCCGCAGCCTATCTCCAGGCTTGTGTCAGCCTTCAAGATTTTTCTCCCTTTGCTTTGCATCTTCAGGCTGTCGTAAGTAACGGGGGGGGGGGGGGGGGGGAGGTGGGGGGGGGGGGGCGGGGGGAGACACGGGCCGGTAGAGGGGGGGGGGGGGGGGTACATTCTTGCTTAAGTTTCTATCCTATGCGCAGCTGCAACCCTTTATCAAACTATGTCAAGGTCAACAGACAGAAGCCTCATCACCACCTGGAGATGCCCACATGATGATATACACAACTTTTAATTGGATGAGCCAATTGGACTCTTGGGGGTGGGAACGTTGCCATTACTTTGTATATGTGATTTACGCGCCCACTTTCTCAGATTCAGAATTCTTTTGTTGCTACCACTTGATTTCCAATAAAAGATATCTTTTCTCTGATTAAAGGAGTCTTAAGTATTTCTTTATTGGATTTTGAATGAAGCACCAGCTGACAGCTTGAACCATTGGGAACCGGGCCACAGAAGTGGCAGGTAAGCATATGTGTGCACATTCATCCCCACTTGTGCAAACAGTGCGTGTGCACATACATGCGTGCTGCATTTGCATGAGAGGCAGGTGCATGCTTAAGGAGCTAGGCTAATTTATACTATATTGCACCTATTCTGTACAGAGTATTTTGAGTATTTACATTATGCTGCAGAATTTACATTCAACTCAAGGCACTGGGTTTGGCCTTTAACTTCTAAATTGGCTTAATCCATGCTGTCTGAAGGACTGCTTAAGAGTCGAACAGAGCAAGAAGATCAATATTTGACTGATCAATAACAGCTATTACATTGGCTGGTAGGGAGGGTATTGGGCTGTCTCAATCAAAATTCAGTTGTTTTAGAAATACATCAATCATTACTGGTTCTCAAGGGAAACTTTTAGGAGATATAATTAATAATGTGTTTTAGAACCAGGCCTCATGGCAACTGTGAAATTCTTACTATGCTAAATTCTCCATGGCCTCTTAATCACTTTAAGGCTCAACCAGGACCTAAATTATAGCAAAATCGAATCACTCTAACTTAATGCTAGGTGCAAATATAGGGAAACAAATGAGTAGATGTCTCAAGCAAGCAAACTACACAATAGAAAAGTAATACTTGTTTTCCGAAATAATTTTGTGAAACCTTCTTTCCTAGTGATTCTGCCAGCTTTCTCCAAACCAGTATTCTCCAGATGTATTTAAACTACAGCTCTCAACATTCTTAACCAATACTGTACGGCTGTTGGAAAAGGTCAGCACCTTATTCTTCAGTGCACAGAATGCAGTGCAGTCCAATGCATTATACTCAGAATTAATGAAGGTGAATTCAATCATTCTTGCTCTCAAGTACATAGGACTGCAACTTTGACCATTTAGAATCTCCCTAATATTTCATTCATTATCCCTTTATTCAAATTATTTTTCAGAAAAAAGGTAAGGATGTACAAACATTAACCCTTCTAAAATCCTTATGAAACAACCACCCTATCTTTATACAGAAGAGAGGCTGGCTAGATATAAAAAATGAATTCAATATTTTAAAGTATTTTTTAAATCTTCTGTTGTACATGATTAAAGGAAATTTCCCAGTATTTCTAAACTTGTCTTAAAATTAATTGCAAAATATATTGTTTTTTCAGATTTTGTATTTGTAATTGCATTTGTAACAGCTTTTTTAAATGGTGTCATTTTCTGTCAACACTAACCTCTCCAGTGATTTTAGTGAAACAAGTATTTCAATAAATTTCAATCAATAAAGCCTTTAATATATAATTTTAAAAGTAACACATATAAATCTTGGCTGATTCACATTGCATGAGATAATTGATTTCACTAAAGAGTTGGTGGCTGATTGCATATGAATACTAATGAAAAATTGGTGAATTTTGAGTGTGTGTACAGATTATTGCAGTGGACACAATTGGTTTCACTTCTGCCTGTTTCTGCCTCATCATCTACAATCCTTCACACATGTATACCTATTTTGTTTTTTTAACTACTGTGGTTCTCTATATTTAACTAGGATACTTGTGCTTGATCATCCCCATACTGGTCCCCATGTAGTTTTTCTACAACACCAGTAATGATTATAGATGTATCTACTACTGGTAGAGCATCTCTGATATTTGCTTCTGTAATGATAAATTAAGCTTAAATCTTTTAGATTTAAAAAAAATATTTTTAAAAAACTTATATATACACACCATGTGTGCACTAGATGTTCTTAAAATATTAAGATAAAATCATACAAATGGATGAATACAGGATTTGGAGTAACTGATGTTTCCTTAGACCAAGGACCTTCAAACTTGGCAAGTTTAAGACTTGTGGACTTCAACTCCCAGAATTCCTGAGCTAACATAACTGGAAGAGGAATTCTGGGAGTTGAAGTCTACAAGACCCCTGCCTTAGACAGAATAGTTTAACAATGTGATCCGTAGCACTCTCCACGTGTTTAAAGCACTAATAAACAGCACAACATGCCATAAAGGCAAGAAATTAAAACAAACTTAAAACTTTTACTCCACAGAATTCTCCTCTCACCCATTTACTTTTTCAGACTTATGAAAAGCAGTTAAAAAGCCATTAACACAAACATTGTCATATTTAGAGAGAAATCATATCACGTTCAAGATCTGATCTAGGAATTCGAAACAAAACTACCGTCCCCATTATTCTAATGAAGGCCACGCGGGATTACAACCCCAGAATGCTCAAGTCCTCCAGCCATCCTGTGCTCATCGGAAATGCTGGAAATTAAAACCCAAGGCATTTATTTGACTGATATTTATTTGGAGAAGGCGGTCCTAACGGGGAAATCCTGGAAAGAAAACAGACCCGTTGTGCTGAAAGAGATGGACTGTTTTATGGGCAGATTCCTTTTTTAAAAAATAATCCGATATAATTTTATTAGACAAAAAACGAACGGTGCCCGTGCTCCCCCCCCCCCCCCCCCCCCCCCCCCCCCTCTGTCGGATTCCGTAAAGAGGTTCGCCCCGGATAGTTTCTCCCCCCACTCCCATCCTCTCTCTTTGAAATGAAACTACTGCTGATTCTCCTCCCCCTAAACAAGCATCTCCCAAACTGGGCTGAATATCAAATGCAAACTTAAAGAGCCGTTGCCGCCCCAGAGGCTTCTAGCCGGCTTAGTTTCAGGGTCCATCCCCCAAATCTCCCACCTAGGGCTTGAAATAAATTCCTAGTTTGACCTTCTCGGTGAGCGGCCACACCGCTCCCGCAGAACAACACGCAGCCTCGGCTTCGCCGTTTGACGTCCCTCCCTTCCTTCCTTTCCCACCCACCGCCCTCCTGCACTCCCCGGGTGCTGGTTTCCAAGGCGAAGACACCCTCCGGACTCCGCGACCCGGTCTGCTTCCTACCGCGGTCGAGAAAGCGCCCAGCGGGCATCTCCCGGCTGCCGGATCGCCAGCTGCTACCTTTGCCCAGGTCGGGGCAGCATTGGGCGCGTCCCCGGATCCCGCCACCTCAATGCAAGGCGAAGCCATCTGAACGTACCTTAATAATACTGCTCCTCCGAGGGGTGGCCCGGGCCGCTTCCAGAAGCCCGGCGTCCGAGTCGGTTGCCAGGGTGCTGGCAAAGCGCTCCGCGGCGACGGTACCGGTACCGGCAAGCAAGACTCCGCTCCTCCGTTCTTTTCTCTTCCCTAGAGACGCCGCGGACATCTCAAAGGCTCCGGGCTCCGAAGACATCTCCGTGTCTTCCTCGCCCTTGGGAGTGATCACGGTCGGAGGTTCTCGATTCCCCGAGCCTTGGGCCATGGCGGGTCCCGCTCCACCAAGCGGAGTCTCAACTTAGCGGAGGCCACTTCGACAAAAGGAGCGGAGAGGAAAGCCCCGCGAGTCAGACCCCCTTTCACTGCAGTGCAGCGGACCCACCAAGTTTCTCCGGGAGAGTCATTGGGTTCGCGCGGTTCAAAATCCCCGGCTGACAAGGCTAGTTGTCCATGCGCGGCTGTATGAGAGCGGCGGTGGCAGGGGAGGGGCAGGAAGGCGCTAAACTTGGACAATGAGGGAGTTTTCTAGCCGCAGAGAATTACAAAGCAACAACCATCCCCCTCACACGCCCATCCAAACGGAGACTCTCTTTCTTGCCGTCTGAGATTAATACGCGCGTCTCATACATATATATACATAAATATATATATATATATACACGAGACAGCTATATCTAGACAAAGAGGCTGTATAATATATATAGGTACGTAGGTAGGTGGGTAAATAAGGAGGTAAATAGAGAAAGAGATAGACGCGCTGATCTCAAGTACGCGCCAAGGAAGACGCTCTAAGCCATGCGAAGCCCGCCAACCAGCAGGAAGTGTAGCCGTTCAGATTCTTTTCGCCTGTGACAGAGCCTGACTGCTTTTGACAGACGAGACTGATAGACGTCAACCAGGGCCAGTAATCGCGGGAGAAACCTTTTTGACCGGAGCCGGCGCGGCCTATCGTTGTCCCGCGGGGCGTGGTCAAGGCATACTGTGCGCGCGTTTCTGCGCGCGCACACGGGGGCTGGTGTACATTGAAAGAGAAAGACGGACTTGTTTTTCGTTGAGAGCGGGTGTCAGTAATTCAGCACACGTTTATAATAGCTTTTTTTTTTCAAATTTATATTGCTTGCGAGCTCCTTTGGCAGTTGTTATACTGAAAGGCACTATAGAATACCAGCAATAAATAAATATGACATGCAATGAAAAGTCTTGGACAAGTAGCCTGCTGAACCGAGTAGATGGCAGATAAACCTCTTTGGCAAGGGCATTCTACATATAGAGTAACCTCGTGGAAAAGATGTTCTTGTACTTACCTGCTGCATCTTACTGTCGTTTGCTTTTGAAGGATACAGATCCTTCCAAAATAGTTTAAAATACAGTATAATCAAAATTTAAAAATTAAAAGTTGTCAACAAGTGATTCTCTTACACACCCTTTCCAACCTGTTATGTTCCAGCAGAGTTAAACAGCACCTGCACCTCCCTTTGCCTCCTGTAAACATGATATTCATCTATCTGGTAGAAGGACCACCACCCAAACCCTGGGCAAAGCTGAACTTAAAATGATAATGCCTGGACCTTTTCTTTCTTATGAAAGGCATTTTCTTTTTCAGGATGAAATGCTGCTTGGTGCAATATCTATTTGTTTAGTGATATCTATTTGTTTTGTTTGATTAGTGGTTGACAATTCTGGGGCAATGCCTTTTTAAAACTATCTTTGTAGTGTTGGAAGAATTATCCTTCTGGGTTCAGTTCCAAGTGGGGAAAAAGACACTGGAAACATGGAGGCTATTTGGAAAGATGGTTTAATGGTGGACAGGACCACATGGCTTGGAGCTCCAAAGGAAGATGATCACATGCTTCAAGGTGAAGGAAAAGGGAAGGGCTGAGATGCTGAGAGTGCCTGCTTTTATACCCTCTGTTGAGATTTGAATTTGAGCTTGTATTCCGATTGGTTGTGAGACTTCCATGGGGCCATGCAGGGACAACTCTGTAGGCTGTCCTGAGTTCCAGGCTTGGTTGAGCCTTGCTCGATGATGATGTAATGAAAAGGGCTTTGGGCCATTGCTATAGCTTTACCTGGAGATCTTTGTTATGTAAAATATTCTGGCCCAGGCCTTAATGGCCCACCCATTAACAAAGGTGGGGGTGAGCTTCTATTTCTGAGTTTCTACTCTTTTTGGGGGAAATATTCTGCCTTTTTAATATTTCCTAGGGTATTTTAATTTTCTAGGAGAGGGTGGGTGCTAACTTCCTACAGTAGCATACAAACTTTCTGGAGAAATAAAATTGATTTTTCCTGCAGATATAGGAAGTTTTCAAGCCGATGATCAGGAATGATGGATTGCAGTCTAATAATTGAAGACCATAATTTCACTATCAATAGCATAATTCAAAAGAAGGGAAATCTCAACTGAGCTGATAGTGTTGGATTGACATGCAAATGAGAGGAGAAAGAACACCCATTTTCTCTATTACTTCCAAGTTATTTGAGAAGTGTTACTATTTTTTTTTCACATTGTGCTTCCCTATATAATATTTTACAGTGGTCCAGATATCTAGGATGAATGCCCTGACTATCTAGTCACAAAAATAAACCATTGAACAGATAGATTAACTGTAAACAGATAGATTAACATTAATGTAAACTGAAAAGAGAGCAGTATATAGAAACATGTAGAAGTCTGCAGATTAGTTATACTATACTTTAAGAATTATTATGGTGATGTGAGGGGACAGAATATCAAGTGACATTTCAGTACACTGCAAAGTCATCAATACTGTAGATCTGTCAAGTTTCTTTCCTACATCAGCTATTCAACTGATGGAGCAGGAGTCAAATTATTATACCCAAGAGGGCAAATCTAGTACAGATGTCAGAATTGTTTGAACAAAGTTATCACACCAAAATATAAGCATGGGTGTTGTGGTTCCGGGCTTGGATTCAGCTCCTGTGGCTGGTATGAGTTCAAGTGAGGAGGACTTGGCAGAAAAATATGAGCCGGCAGGGCTCAGTGATGGGAATAGTAACCAGGATGAGGAGATGGATGTGACAAAGGAAGACAGACCTGATGTATTAGAATTGTCAGGACCTTTGACCTCCTCTGGTTCCTTATCTGATCAACAGCCGGGAATGGCTGACAGGGAAGTTTTGAGAGAGTCTTCTAGTGGAGATGAGAACTTAGAAAACTTGTGGTTAAATGTAAGGAACAGAAGACGATTAAGGAGGCAAACCCAGTTAGAACGAAGGAGGAGGGCGAGTCAATAATTAAGGAAATTAGCACGTTGCCTCAATGAGTATAAAAGGACACAGCTGGGCTGGAAAAATTTGCCAGGAACAAAGTGACTTATTGCGTGAAGACGATACTGCAGAAGCTCTGAGGCTTGAGATTTTTTGCCAGGACTGGTTTGCCGAACAGAGCAAAGATTGTTACTGTGGATTGTAATTTATGACAGCCGTTATCTTGTGAGACTTCTTTCTGTTTGATTTACTTTTGAAAACGGCTGCTTTCTGTTTTGCTCGCTTGAATTTTGAAGGGGAGTCATAACACATGGGTATGGGTTCTAAACCATAGGCAACCATCATCATTATCTGTACATTTAGAAGGGTAGCCAGTTAGTCTGTTGCAACCAGTGACAACATTGGCAGCTGAAAAACCCAAGGCTGTAAATTATCCCAAGCCTCTTTTATTATTTTGGACAGATACCTCCATTTCATTGCTTTAGTTCAATAAAACTGCACTTGCTGTCAGCAGCCTTCATTTATTAAAGCACGATCTACTCCAATATCTCTAATAAGTTTATATTCACCAGCAGTGGAAGAATAGAACCTATTAAAGAATTTTGAAATGTGATATTTGTCAAAATAATGTGGTCTTTGTATTCTGGGTATGGACCACTGCAAGTTATTTTATTCTATTTTTTGTGAGATAGAAATTAAAAAATGTATATAATTTAGAAAATGCAGTTAAGGCTTCAGTTTAACCTGTTAGTTATGCATTAGTGCTAATAGTTGATTGAAACATTGTGTTTTAGTTTATTTACACTAATAACTACAAACAGTTCTCCAAACAATTTAAAGTTATTTAAAACAGTAAGACTGTCAAAATAATACATTAATAAATACAATGTAAATAAATACATTAATAAATACATTAACACATTAATAAATACAACACAATAAATCCAATTTAATGAACAAATATTAATAAAACATAGAAATAAAAAAATATAAAAACAATCTTGCTAGCAAAATGTTGGGACCTAAAGTATTATTATTGTAATTATGTTTAGGAATGATTTTATAGTAATGTAATCATGGATGTTTTACATTTCCGTATTTGTAAGCTGTTGAGGGTAATTTTGATTGTAGCAGAGTGGAACTATGTTCAATTTTAAATAAACAAATGAAATTAAAATGTAGTACTGTATAAAAATTCCTGAAAGAAAAAAAGTAAGCCACTTGCTGAATTCAACATATTATTGTCATGGATTACAAATTTTAATTTCAAGAAATCCAAAGTAGAGGACTCTCTGGATTCAGATAACATAGTAAACCTACTTTAACAACTTCATATAGGGGGCAAGGAGAATAATGATTCCCTACATCAATTTGGCTTTTGAGGCTTAATGAGTTGTCTGAAGTCAGCCATAGGAACATGGTATTAATCTAGATGTTGTGTGTTAGCAGCACAGTAATGTTGTGTACCCCTGATCTGGTTGATTTGATTTGGATTGACTTGGGGCATTACCTGATACAAGATAGCAACTATAAATCAGTCTAATATAATTTATTAGTACATTTTAGGTAAATGAAGAATTGCTATGTTAAAAAGCATGCAATACAAAACATTATAAACAAGAATGGAACTTCCATATACTGCAGAGCATGTTACCAAGTAAAACTTCACTCAGCATGATTTGTATTTTTCCATTTATATTTTTCCATTAATTTGCAAACCTAGAAACTGAATACCTTTGTGGTTGTATATATTCTGGATTAAAAGGATGCCCTTAATGTTTGCTAGAGGAGGATTGGAGGGAGAGAGTAATAGGGACTAAAATGGGCTAGATAATTATGAGAAATAGGCAAGACCAAATTAATTGTATAAATGGTGC